AATGGGGGAACGTTGTCCCTCTAAGTGTTCTAGGTGTTGTTCTACCGAGTTTTTGAGCTTTGCAATGTACCGTATATAATCGCACTTTCAAGAATCCATATTTCATAATATTATTCCTACCATCACGCTGCGACGCTGACGCCCGTGTCATACAGGACTGCGGCAATATTTGGTGGCGGAGTTAGATGTGCCTTCTTCGACTAAAGCAGGGTTACTGAATGTAAGTCGACAACACGGTGACTCTGAAAAAGTTTCTATTCAAAATGCACTAATTTTTCCGCATCATAGCTTGTGTACGGGGAAAAACGTGGCTGGCTGTGGAGTACCCTTCCAGTTATGGCAAAGGTGCTGCATTAAAAAAAACACATGCTGAGACAGGCTGTTCCATAGTTTTCGGAAACTGTTACATATTTGAGTACTGATTATTTAGTTTCGGCCACGCATTCAACCCTCCCTCCATTGGCTCTTTTGCCCCGCAAGAATAGCAAAACGAACGTAATGAAAGCATCAGTTCTGGAATTAGTTCGAGCGTAAACATGAGCGGCTTTCATGTTGGAGCTCCCAGAAACTCGACCGTAGCTCCGCACCTTCCATGTACTCCATCGCAAGAGCACTTAGGGTTCCTCCCATCATGGCAGTCCAGCAGAGTGCCGCTTCTCCAGGAACTGTTTCTCTAAAGGAATTCATTGTTTCCGCTCATAACTTTGTACATGATCTTCTATACATATACTATACACAATATAATATTAAGGAGAATACAGCGAACTGCCCCCATGGGGGAAATCCCCTTAATAAAAAATTTACAACTTGGTAATGAGCAATTCTGCAACAGGAAAATTGGCGTAGAATAGAAGTGCTTAAAATTTTCACAGCATCATGAATTATATCCCCCTGAAAAAGACCGGAATGTCTCCAAATGTAGGACATTTTCTAGAATCCTTAAAATCCGTTTAGAATAGTGTCCTTCCGTAAACAGGGAAAGGAGGATAGTGTATGGAGGAATGAAGGGCACTATGTGGTGGAGGTGCATTGAAGTGGGCGAAGTTTCCAGCGAAACTTTTAGTGGGTTACGATACTGCTCAGGAACATGGACCAAGGCGTTTGGAAGGCGGAGGGCGGGAAGGAAAAATCAGGTGCTGTTAGCAGGCGTAGTCTGCAGAGAATTTGGAACATCCCATAAATATCACAAGTCGGTTCTGAGGCAGCCAGATCACTACGAAAAGTGGGTAATGGCTGGCGAGGGAGAACAGGTCCATCGCTATCGGGCCATCGGAGCGGGCGACGGTACTTAAAATTCAACTAGGCATCTTGGATCAGAATATGCCAAAACCGGTCAAACATGAAATTAAGAGAGCTCAACCAGCCATGATTTGCGGTAAAAAGGAAACGATCTAGCCATTAATTTCGTAGCTCCGAGCCTTTTCCATGAAAAAAGAAATGAGAGATCCTAGCTGGGAACGTTTCAGAACCGACGTGCCTTCAAATTCCATAGAACATCCGTAGTGGTTGCAAGGCTGGAATCCTCACTCCAGCGATGTGAAAGTTCTTATGGTGTTTGCCTGCTAGCCAGCCCTCGCTGCCGTAAAGCATGCCGACTTCACCACCGCCGATACACCTCCAGTTGATCGTTCTCTAGCACCACTGGTTACAGAGCATTCTATTGAACTTAGTCCATCCTATCCAGGCCACATTGTTATGAGTTTTCTGCCTGATCGCTCTCAAGATATAGGGAGCACTCCACTTACTCATTCTTTCGCTACAGTGCTCGCGATCGTTAGGCTCGAGTTGAAAATTACATCGCCACGCATTTGCAAATGTGGAGAAGATCAAAACTTCACGCTGCCTGAACTTTAACGGATCATGAAACAGAACACAATTATTACTGACCATACTGGATTTGACGGTGGTCTAGCTGAACATACATAACACGCAATATATTTGGATGTGGCAAAAAATTTTTAGTGGTAGGTTGAGAAGAGACACCAGATAGTCAACTACACCAAAAATCACATAAATGATAATATAAAAGGTCAGCGAATTGTGCACACGACATCCTGGTCCTGGTGACAACCGTTAACAACGATGCTTCTCTACGTGCTCATCGCTCTCATGCTCCTCAGCACCTTTACTCAAGCAGATATTGAAAACGTACGTTCCAATGGTTTAGAAATTCATGTAGGTGTCCAGCAATAGCTTTGCTCTTGTTTTGAATGAAATTGCCTCTCAGGAGTGCAAGGACCGCCACAATCCTACGACCTGCGCCAACTACGTGAACTGGGGCTGGTGCACCTCAACTGATCCTGGCAGAATTGGTCTTGCGAAAGCTAACTGCAAAAAAACATGTAATCTTTGTTGAAAGCAACATGTCACTAATAAAAATTCACAATATAAGTTTAAAATGCTAGCGAACTTACTAGCGAAACCTCTAACAGCATTACTTTTCGAGTCCACTACCATAAACTTGGTTAGGTTTTGAATGTTTCCATGAAAAGAGAGGAGTCGACTGCGAATACGTCGTCTATGTACCTTGTAGAAAACTATTCCACCGGTTAACGACGTTTGTTCCAAATAGCCCAGATATACAATTGCTAGCAGTGGAGCTATTCTTGATCCAATTGCCAACCGCGATTTTGAGCACAAAATTGGGAATCGGTTTGGCAATAGGATTAAGTATAGCTTCTCTGCTAGCAATTGTATCAGTTGGAAAGAAAGTTCTGCAACACTCTTTACCTAAAATTTTCTTTTTTTCTGAGCCATCCAGTAACATTTAACAAATGGTAGAGCATTCTAGAGGCTTCAATCCACGAGATGGATATAGGTTCTGCAGTAAGTAGTTATACAAGAAAATTTGAAAAACCTCGGCCACTAGTAAATCCATACTCGGAGTCACTGTCTAGTACAAATGCCTCCGTAACTATGATTTCGTGTCAACGACGGACTCTATCTGCAATAGCTTCAATAGGCATGCCGCACCGCTACAGCGTGTTTCACCTCAACCAGCGCTTTCGCTCTTCTGATGTTTTTATGAGGAGTTAGCAGCTCCTACGCTCTCTGTTACAGATAGGGCTCTCAGAAAGTCCACTACTAATTCTTCGTTATGGGCACCATTGTGTAGCTAGAGGTCTAG